ATTTGGAAAGCAAATTCTATTCAAATTACGTTTTGTTTTTATCTCATTCAGTTTGAATTCTGTCACTTGCATCTATTGAACAGCACGTATGAGAACACGATGCAATTTAACTGTGGGTTCAAGTTCAATCCATTGCTTAATGTTCATCGATTGCAATTCCTTATACATTCATAATTAGAATGTCAAATTATGGAAAGACCAACTGTTGAGTTACTAGTTGAACACACAATTAAGTTCAATTTTGAAGGGGTAATTGTCCTTGTCCAATTCCATGTGATTGTAAGTAAGGACGAACTGGGCCAAGCCAATATCAGGAAAGTGTTTCAATTAACATAGATTTGCTGCTTGGCCAACAATGCGATCACATGCGGTATATTTCAGAATTGGTCGGATCATCCTTTCTTCCCTCACAAAAAGGTCAGAATCCGCAGTGCATGTCATTGTTTCCCTCAAACATGAGGGTTGAACTGGGCACCACCTAGATCAAGCGAGAAAGGCTATGTGAAACAACAGATAAGGTGCCTGAATTAAAAACACGGGCTTGCCCAGACAAATTTCTTGGGAATTTTGTTCGAACCCCGCCCCTTAAGATGTCATCTGTCTTTGGGACACGCTGCACATGTTGCGCAACATGTCCGAGGCTCTTAGCTTGGTTGGCAAATGTTGCCCAACATGCACAAGATGCCTGACATTCCCACAGAATCACTGGGCCAAAAAAACACAACAACACACAAAATAAAACAAAAGAACAATCCTACCCCCCCTCCCCATGGCTGGAATGGCTTGTTTGTTTTGGTTCTGCCACATGTTGCGCACCATTGCACATGATGCCCAACATTTTTAGAGAACTGCTGAATAAAAATCAAAACAACAAACACAGTATTTTGCTCGATTTGATTTTGGTCCATTGCGACATCCGCCCAATATTGCGGAACATTTGGGTTTTGTTTTGCAACATGTCCACTGGACAAACAACGGCAAGAAACAATCAACGCTACAAGCAAAGTCATCAGCACTCCCCTCACGGGGCAGGGTTAGTTTGTGGCAGTGTGTTTCTTTCTCTCGATCTGTTCTGGAAGAGCTTGCTACTATGAAGTCTGGAGGAGCACATGTTAATTATTGTGTCTTGTTAAGCTAGTATCAGGACACATGTAGGTTGGAGGGTGAGGTACCATATATGCCAGGGGGTACCTGTCTATATAGAATAAATATATTTATAGATGTACACTATATATAGAGGTGTGTGTGTGTGTATCATACAAACATATATATATATATACACATATTATGCTACTCACTGTGCATGGTCGGTCCGAAGCATTGTTGTGCATACTTGTTGGCCATGAGGAGGAAGCTGTTGAATATGTTCAGCTCTCCGAGTCATCATGTGTTGCTGGACTGAACCCAACCGAGCTTCTGCAATCTTATTTTGATCGTCTCTTTGCATGTCATAGGTACATATGCAGTCCAGGAAGTGCAGCATGCCTGCCTCCCTGCCAGCAACCAAGCATGCTTCACGCTTGTGCCACTGTTGCGTTTGCATGCAGAGTTCTGTTGTGCTACACTTTGCTGGCTTGGACTCTCAGCTTGAACCTTGCCACTTGATCGACCAGTCTGTCAGGAAATACCTTGGTGCAATTGTGCGAAAACACACTTCACCATGAAAGAGCCGTACTTGACATCTCTACGAAGCCCGCAGGATTAGCAGTAGTCTAGGGAGCACCCCAGCCATGCCACGTCGCTGGGTGCGACGCAACGAGACCGGCGAGCAGCCCCAGCCTGAGGAGACCATCGAGAGCCCGAGTTTTGGCATCGCCATGCGGCCAGCAATCAAGGAGCTTCTACCAGGTTTTGTGCATTTGCCCAAAGTATTGCCGCTGGCGTTACAACAGCAGTTGCTGGACACGGCTTGCCTGGTCACAGCACCCCAGTCCGGCTGCAGCGGAGGCTGGTACCGCTTTGAATCTGGCTCCACCTTGCCCCGGCTGAACGATGGAAATAAGGCACGCTTTTGGGATGTCATCGAGAAGTTTCCGGACGACTTCGGCGGGCTGGGGAAGCAATTGGCGGAGTTGGCAGCCGTGAGCCCAGACCTGGCACAACCGGCTGCCGACTTCCAGCCGCGTGTGGGGGCGTTGAACTTCTACACCGGCAAAGGTAGAATGAACTGGCACAAGGACGACTACAACTTCGCCAAGAAGGCTCGGCCTATTGTGATGGCCTGTTTGGGAGACACTGCGGAGTTTGGCTACAAGATGCGTGCGTCTGATCCGGATGCCTCTGTCTACCTGGAGTCAGGAGATGTCATTGTTTTCGGCGGCCCAGCACGAGACCTGGTGCACGCCCTTCTTCGGGTACTTCCACGGAGTACTCCTCCCGAGCTTCGTTTTCCTTCAATGCCTGGCAGTGGTCGGGTGAGCATCACGTGGCGAGATGTGGGGCCAGAGGATGGGCTTGTGTTCAATAGCGACCAGCGCCTGGGTCTGACAGTCACTGAACATACACTGCCGCGATATAGGCCGCACCAAAAAGGCATGTGAGGAATCTCCATGAACAGGAGCACTCCCTTGCTCGCCTTTTTCTGGTGCGAGCCTGCTGGCAACGTCCACCGGCAAATGATCAACCCTTTCTTGCTCTGATTTTGTGTTGCCTCAATTCACCCGCTTGTGGCGGTCTCTTCAAAGAATCCAAAAGACAGATGCTCTGGTTTCAATTGACACTCAAGCGACTTGGTTGAACTTACGCACTGCATGCATCGTCCCTGTGTTTGCGTGACCTCTGACGCATTGGCCACCAACAAGCATCGGTCGAATCGGACAGGAGCCCCAGCGCGAGCGCTTGATCTGCGAGGCCAGGGACGCGGCGGAGTGGCCCGGGCCCCGGGTCCCGGGCCCCGCACGGCGAGCCGAGACTTCGAAGGAATGGCAGGGGGTCCTGTTTGATGTTCTTGTTTGTTTGTCTTCGAAGGAATGGCTCTTGTTTTTTGTTTCAGGGTTGTTTTTTTTGGCATGTCAAGATTTGTTTTGTGGGTTGCTCCATATCAACTTCGGATTCATCCGTCCCCACAGAGGAACTGGGACCCCATAGATGATTGCCCTACTGATTTACTGAAATACTGAAAGGGAGCCGACCCAATCTGAAGCTGACATCATCCCTGTTTTGGTCACTGTTCCCAGCCTGGATACACCAGCGAGTCATTTCACCATTTTCAGGGGCCCGGACCATTTGTCTGTTTCTTTTGGAGTGGGAAGTCGGAAAAAGACTTGCGTGTGTCTCAAAATTATTTGGACCCCAAAGTGGTTGGATTCCTTGTTTCCCTTAAAAATGGGGTTTTGATTCGGTTCTGCCGAAGCTTGTCATTCATGCTGAAATCGGGTATGAGTGGGTATATGCCACTGGGCGGGGCTGGTACGACTTGAGACCACTGGATACCTTGATCATTGGGCAACAGTATCTAGATTGTGATTTATGTTGGTTTGAAAAGAAAGGGCGGCTTCCGGGTTTGTAAGAAAGGACGCTCTGTGGGTATGAAGGGAAATAATCCGTATCACAAAAAGTCATGCTTGACGGGTTGGGACAGAAGATTCGTGGCATAAAATGAGAACAAGTGGGAGACACCTTTGTTGCAGAAGAACCCGCAGGAACCCGTTTAAGATTGCATTTGTCATCACATCGGGGACCCCCTTCTGGACGATTCTGGGCGCCAAGAGGAAGCTGTTGCGATCTTTAGGGGTTCCCCTTACCATGCAAGTATCCGCGCTGTCACCAAAAGGAGTGTGTTACAGGGCAGGCAGTCCTTGCTTTGGGAGTGCTCCGTTTAAATGTTTCATAAGGAACCATCTTCAGACCTTGGCCACTCGGGCCTGCCTTTGTAGTCACACCTCGAAAGGCGGTATTTGGACTGATGCAGGGGTTGCTATGTCGGCCCTCAGCTCTCAGTTCCCTGTTCTTTGCATTGCTGAAGTTTCCCTGTGTGTGTTCGCTGTGACGCTGTGCCCCTTTCTGAGTAAAATAAACAATAATATCTTCATTTAGGCCTCGACGGAAGGAGACTGGGTTGGAATCCGCGCATGCACGCAACGCCGTCCGGCAAGACGTGTAGTTCGGCTCTTAGTTTCAAGCCTGCGATGTCCGGTGGATACAGCGGCGCAGGCGGGCTGTGTGCTTAAGAAAGAGGACAGTTCAAAGATTTGCTTATCTTAACGGAACAGCAGCGAAGTGGCTGGGAAGGGGACATTTGCTCATTGGAATGCAAGCCCATCATGGCGAACACCAATCCGAAAAGGAGGAATGTGAAAGAGTGCAGCTTTTCGGGGGCAAGTAGTCTTACCAGCCGAAGTTTGAGCGACTCGGTTGGTATGTGCCGCTTGCCGTGTTGTGAAGCGGTTGCCGACCCCTGCCACCTTTTTGCATGGCCTGTGGGAGCCTTGATCTAGAAAAGCCCCCATCTTAGGAACCGCTTCTGCCAGGGTTCTGGAAAAGCACGTGGCACACTACTTGAATTGAATTCAATTAACTCTGCGGCAAATTGGCCAATACGTGTTGCTTCGGCAGAATTTCCCACCGCCAAGCCCTCACCACCTCACCTCACAGGCGATTTGGAGCGCATTCTGGCCTCCCCTGAGCTCCTGCGAGACTCGGCTTTGGGGTTGCGCTGGGATATGGGAAAGTGTCAACGGGGGGGGGGAACCCCAAAAATGACTTCGGGGTAAAGGATAGAAGCACGCACGCCTGGTATTATTTCAGGGCCGCTTCTTGTGATTCCAAGCGAGTTCCCTTCAGTAGTCGCGAGAATGACATTATTGTTTGGGTATCGAGCATAGGATGTTTTCCCACACAAATGTCGGCCGTGCTGCATCATGGGAACTTACGAGCCACTCCGACGTCAACATCAGATCGGGGCCTTGGAGCTTTCCTTCGGTTTCGGTAGTTAACTTAGCCGAGAAACTTCTGGAATGGCTCGTCCAAAATGCCAGAGGGAAAGCCAACCATCCGGCGCCCATGTCAGAGACGCACCCTGTGTTCTAGACTTGGGCAAACAAATACTGTATGTCTTGTTTAGGTGGACTGTTGGGCCATCCTTTCTTGCGCAGCTGTGCGGGATTGTGCGGGTCTGGATCCAAGGAATGGTTGTTGAACTTTGCAGCGCACTTGACTTTCTTGAGCTCTGGGGTAATTTTGCCCATAGATGCCCCTGAGAGGGCAACCCTTTGTGTGGTTGGTATCTTTTGACAAGGTTTTCCGGGAGGCCACACGACCGCTCAGGAAAGAACGATGCCTTGCGACGGCCTCAGCTGCTGCCAAAATCGGCCTCAATATGTTCAAATGCGCACGGGCCAAACTGTTCTATGCACTTGAGCATGTTTCGGAATATTCGCATCTCAATCCGCTTGTTTCCAGGGGCAATGAACTTGGCACCAGGGACCCCAAACCAGCATTCGATGTGTATGGATTCCCTTGTCGGGGAGGATCCGGCTCAATGTAAGCCTCTCAGAGGGTAGTACCCTCTTCGCGTTTCAAGAGAAGCTGTTAGTAACCGTTTGTCCTCACCTATCGCTTGTCGCTGTATGCAGGCGCTCAGACAAGGCGTTCATGACGCAGCTGCTCTCGCGGAAGGGCCAGCTGTTGCGGCTAGCGGGTGAGCCGCTGAGGCAGGGGGCTCGGCGGTGAGGAGCATTAGGCCCCCCTACCAGAATTCTCAGAGCCCTTCCAAGAGCGAAGGTTTTAAGAACCCGTCCATGACTTCCAGGGTGCGCGGCATCACTGGTAACATGTCGCGGCAACATGTATTGTCACCCTGAAGAAGCTGCCGGCCGAACTGAAGCTCTCCCAATGGATCATTTGGAAGCCTCTTCCACAGCAGGAGTGACGACAAAAGAGCAGCATGCTTTACGCCATGTCACAAATCCCACGACCACCAGGGGCCGTGAGCCTTGGGCATAGACCTCGGCTCAGGGCCGACGTCGACGTGGTCCTCGCGGCAGTGCGGCAAGACGGGGACGCGCTGCAGCGCCCTGTCGATGGGATTCGATGGGTTGGATGGGCTGAGATCAGGGATTCGGGGTGGGATTGGGTGCATGTTCGGCCGATTTGCTGCATCAAGAAGCAGTTGGAGTCCCCACAACTGTGTCCGGCGGTCAAAGAGTTTTGTTGCTTTGCCTTGTGTTGCTCAGGAAAAGTGAACCTGGTCTCAAATCTGTAGTTTTCATGGCAGTATGAATGCGTTCGAGTCAGGACTGCTTCCCATACAGAAGATAGGGCTGCTTGTCGATTCAATTCTTGTGCGCGAAGGAAGCCGTTACACAAACACCACGGACTTGCTAGCATGCGAGCCTTTGCCCGGAAAAGGATGCGTTGGGTTTCTTTGATTGGTTGCCGGTTACTGCATACATGTTTTGTCTCTGGGCATGCCTGCTATGTCAAAGCACGATGCCGGCCTGCCAACACAATCCGTTTAATGGTCCCGTCCGTGATGGCAAGTTGTTCAGATTGATTCTCCCCAAGCACAGGTGTACAAATCATTTGAAAGAACAGCAACCAGCATACGAGGAACAGAAGGGAAGTAATGCAGCAATCCCTGGTCCAGTACAACTTTGGAGCTGGCTATTCAATACTCGCCCAGCCCACTTTCAACACGTTCTTCGAAGCTGCCTAGGTGCCCTTCAGACAACGACCAATTCTCGGACCTGAATTCACCACACTTACCCTTCCTTGATCAGAACGGCGGCATTATGACAAATACGACGGGGAGCTCTCTATTTAGCACCCAGCATACTGAAAAAACCTGCTTGCACTATGTGCCAGTGCAGATAATCCAAGTCAATAAATACCAAGCCATACTCAATCGGCCTGAGACACTTACATATGAATTTGCGGTACTAGTTCTGCAGAAATCTACAGGCCCGGTTGCTAATCACAAATTGACAGAGCAAGAATGTGAAGACGCTTGCTTGCAACTCCCCGCTAAAGACTAATTTAGCTAATTTATTCTCCTTTGGTTCTCTTGACACCGCTCCGAAATAGGCACCTTCAAAAAAGACTTCTCTTTTGCACCCTTCGCCAAGCGGATTGAAACTGTTTTGAGGTTTGCCGATGAATCGGTGTGGAGGCGCGCTCGGGCCAACCCGGTTCTTACTCTCAGCTGGCCGGTCGCAAGTCACGCACTATACCAGTGACTCTTAATGGGATGTACATGTCCTCAACAAGCCAGACTTGAAGCATGGCATGAGCTGCAGGAGCAGATGACTGTCTTAAAGAGCTCAAACCATCCAGAAGGGGCATACATGCTGCATTACATCAATGGATTGAGAGACTTGGTGTGTCTGTGTTCGTGCGACCACATGGGATAATCAAAATGCGCCTGCTGCCAATATTTCCTTGCACTAGCTCCTAACATTAAGGCAGAGGCGGTAATTTGCGAAAGAGACATATCTACATAACAAATCCGTGTACAGTGCCCAAGGCACATAGTATGCCTATGCACATGCTTGCTGACATGCAGATCTATGATCCATATGATCCGTTGGTTCCTAGGGTGTCCATTCCCTCAGATGTCATTCACAACAACTGCCATCTTTCGAACCATGGTTAAACAATGAGCATGTGGCAACAGGTGAGGGGCACCCTTTGCAACAAGCACCAACATGTCGCTAAACAAGTGGACATCATGCACCTGTGCAGTGCATGACCAATTCGGGGCGTATCCTTACACAGAAATTCCGATTCCCTGCTTCATTGGGCATTCTACACAAGTGTAAAACAGACCGGTAGCTTTGCCTCACAAGTGCAGTACCAAGTTGTTAGAACAGTGTAAAGCAGCCAAGCCCCACAAGTACAATATCAACTTGCCATGGTCCTCAGACGTGGTGTT